AAACCCTCAAACCCTAAAGCCTAAACCCTAAGCCCTCAATCCTAAACCCTAAACCCTAAACCATAAACCCTAAACCACTGAGTCGTGAGGATCCTCGAGTCTTCCTGCGAGAAGATGGACGCAGAGGCAGCTGCCAACGTGGTCAGCACCGTGTTCGAGGAGGCTCGAAACTAAGATTAGGGTTTAGGGTTTGGGTTTAGGGTTTGGGTTTAGGGTTTAGGGTTTAGGGATAAATCCTGCATTACCTTAAGGATCCTAAACTATGGGGAATTCTGGTATATTCAGATTATGGGTATTGCAGGGTTTATATCATCAACCGTGGGGCACCTGATGTTTCTGACACAGGGGGAGGAGGGGCCCCTCAAGGATCCTTGTATGGAACGGTGAGGGGGTGGGAGGGTTAGGGTAGCTTCCCCAATTAACCGGGTGCGCATTGGTTCTGGGTGGCTGTTTTGGATGTTGATGTCTACGATGGAAAGAAGACAGCTTGTTGGAAGCTCACAAGGTAAAGACTGTTGCAACTCAAAACAAGCAAGTCTCTGCAAGAGCCCCAAGCCAGACCTCTGCAGAAGGCATTGCCCCATGATTGTTGTAGGCGCTGAAACGCTGACAAAAAGCATTCCTTTCTTTGTCAATGATGTGTATCATCTATGTTGGCTGCATCACACCGGCTACATGTAGCCTAGAACTAATCCTACTGCCAGCTCCTGAGAGAGTCTCGAGGTGGAAAAGGTCCGCCACAACTCCGTTCGCCAACTCGTCCTGTCTTGTATCAAGGCCAGCCCTTTGGAGGGCGCTTTAGGCCTAAACCCCACTTAAAGGATCATGGGACTTAGTAAGTAGGGATATAACTAAGGTAACTATACTTATAACCCCAATTAGGGGGCTTATAACCTTACTTACTAAGTCCCATGATCCTCCAACTACACCCTAAACCCTAAACCCCTAAACCCCCTAAACCCCTAAACCCCCAATCCCCTAAACCCTAAACCCTACAGCCCTTTTCTGAGCTGAGGGCTTGGGGTTTTTAAGTGGCCTACAGGCTCTGATAGCTGGCACAGAAAATTTGGGGATCCCTGAGCTGCCGGGGTGTACGGATGGCCCAAACTATCTATATGTATATATATATATATATGTATATATACACGTAGATATAGATATAGATAGATAGATAGACAGATAGATAGATAGATAGATAGATAGATCGGTAGATAGATAGATAGATATAGATATAGATATAGATATTAATATAGATATAGATATAGGTATCGACATAGATAGATATAATACACACGCATATAATATATATATATATATATGCATATACATAAGTAGGTAGAAAGATAGATATGTACATATGCATATAGTACACGTGTACATATCAACAAGTCCGAGTTCTTGGATGGTGAGGGACGGCTTTGGGACTGGAAACTCGCATAGTAAACATGCGTAGTTAATAATGGTGACGATACATACTAGTGATATATTGGGTATAACCGGGACTGCTTTTGCATCATCGCCATCATCATCAACAACAACATCGTCATATCGTTCATCATCATCTTCTCCAAATAGTCAGCATCGCTATCATCATCGTCATCATCATCATCACCACCATCACTTTCACCATGGCGACGGCCATGACTAGCATGATCATCATCATCATCACCATCATCACCATCACCAGCATCATCATGATGATCATCATCATCATCACCATCGCCATCATCACCATCATCATCAGCGTCATCATCATCACCCTACAGTAGCACCCGTGGCTTGACAATCTGTTTCTATTGCGAAGGTCATGGCTCTCCACCACTTTGATGCAGTGCCCGGCGCCTACTTTCAAGCGCATCAAAGAGGCTGCACACAGGTTTCATGATATTCTGCTTTTTCCGGTCGTAGAATTACGATGTTCTATACTATATGTTCTAGGCCATATCTTCAAGATTACTGCATATTTCATGCTATATACTAGTATCTACCTTCTGAGCACCGTGCTGCTGTTATAGTTGCGAGGATGGAGGAGCTGCTCGGCATGGGTCCGGACTTCAGCACCTCAATCATGGCAGCACTGCAGGTTGGGCCGCAACGCCTCTGCATTCAGGGTCCACTTCGGGGCATTTCGGGGCTCGGAAGCTCGGGTTTGATTGTGGGTTTAGGGTTTAGGGTTTTTAGGGTTTAGGGTTTAGGGGGAAGCTCTTATCGTTGCGGTTGGCCCATTGAAGAGAAGCCCTTGGAGTCAGGGAGCGCGACATCCCAACAAGAAAGCGGAGCGAAGCACGGCCAGGTCATGGCCAAGGAGAACTCTCTTCTCTTGATCCCTGGCAACTTTCAGCTCGGCCGCTTTGTTATTCGTTCTTGTACCTAGGGGGCCTAGGCCTTTGATTGCTGTCGGAAGGCGAAAGGGCAGCATGCTGTAGACTAGGCAGAGGGGCTGTTCGGAACAAGAGCGGGACCAGATGCTTGCTGCCCCTGACCTTGCGCTTCCAAGGAAGCTGCTGAATCACTTGACGGCACCTTGCATGCATCAATGCTTTCTATCACAGACGTGGAAGACCCACAAAGCTTTGAGTTCCAAAAGTAGGCGTAGTCGTAGTCTGGCCTTCCTGTTCTATCCAAGGCTATTCTGACGGAGCCTCAGTGCGCAATGCAGCCTCATCATGATGCAGAGTGCGCATGGCTATCTTGAAATCTGCCGCAAATCTGTCACGAGTTGCTTTCAAGTCGGGCGCCTCCGCCTCCCCGGAGTGTACAGTGTACAGCAGCTTCCCAGTTCCCTCATGGCTTTGATGCTCGATGACTGGGAACCTCGACTCCGACGGCGGAAGCGCAAGTCTCGACGGCCGGTTAGCCACAAGTGGCTGAAAGAGCCGGTGCCAGACCCCGATCTAGTTGCAGAGACGGAGAAGGCGCTGAAAGTAGTTGCAGATGCAAGCTTGGAGGAGTGCTTGGAGGAGCTCATAAGCACGCGGCAAGATGATGCTCACGTCGCAGGATCCACGCAGAGGAAACGCGACAAGCAATGGAGCTCCCTCCTAAGCCGAGCACGTGGACAGGTTCTGAGTTCGGTCGAGAAAGAGTTCGGTCCATCCGGCAAGCTGCAGCCCCTACACCCCAGCTCTGAAGTGAAGGACGGGTTCTTCACAGCTCGCAGGACCTTCGAATGTACTACGACATTCGTATACCATGGAACCAAAGCTGCGAACATCGATTCCATCTCTCGAGTTGGTCTGCTCATGCCTGGAAAGAACGGACACAAAGTTGCTAACGGATCGGCGCACGGCGTGGGGATCTACACAGCCCAGCTGGGCAAGGCAACTTTGTCCAAGGGCTTCTGCGATTCGAACAAAATGTTCGTATGTGCCGTCTGCGACACCAGTCAACCTGTCACAGAGGAGGAGACAGCCTCCAAGCTACCCTGCTTCCAGTGGCGTCGCACACTTGCCTTTCTTTGTCGTTTGTGCTGTGGAGTGCTGCGGAGTTCATGCAACGAGGGTTCTAAACAACGTTCCTTTTGCTTGGGCGTGTTACGGCTGTTCGCAAGTGCGTGTGAGGCAGCTTCTTGCTTCGTGTAAACAGGATCATGGGACTTAGGTATATAGGGTTATAACTAAGAAAAAATACTTATAACCCCAATTAGGGGACTTATTGCCTTACTTACTCCGTCCCATGATCCTCCAAGCATGCTGCAGTCCTACATCCCGAAATTAAAGTCCTGTGAGCAGGTAGAACACCCTGCAGAACCGCAATTACAGCCGCAAAAAGGAATAGACTAAGCAGACGAAGTTAGAGCCAAGGCTGGACACCAAGTGGAAGCCTTCAGCCACTGTCGTGCCTTGGCTAGGCTTGTGGTTCATACTTGTACATCATTATGGATAAGCATTATGGCATGTTGTGGCTTAGTTTGCAATAATTAGGTCATTCTAAAGGCAAACTTGACGCTCGCAGACAAAGAGTCCTGAGCCCTCAGGTGCAGTCGCAGTTCCCCAACACTACGACAGCCGTCAACATCCATCCATCAGCTCGGCGACTGGGAAGACACGACCCTTTGCTAGACTACCGTCTCAGCACGATTTCCGAGAGCTGCGTGCTGCGTAGGACTCGAGCATGTCGTTATACAAACAGACTTATAAAGAGATGGATAGACGCATGCACAGACATGGTGATTGCTTAGCTGGCAGGGATGAATGCCCGTACACTGATAGATAAACAAGGAGCATGCGTGCATACATTACATGGTTACATACCCAGGCATACACAACACACATCCATACATAGATCAGTGCTTACATGCATGAATGCATACCTGCATACATGCATACATACATACATACATACATGATACGCACAGGAGTACAAACACACATACGCACATGCATACATACATACATGATCATACATGCATATATATATATATACACACATACATAAATATATACGACGCGAGACATACATACGCTCATACACTCGATCTCTTTCCATTACATACATTGCATACATGACATACATTGGTTACATGACATACTTGACACACGTTTCACCCATCCATTCTGCCATACCTTTCATCCATCCATCCATCCATCCATCCATCCATCCATCCATCCATCTGTATTCACCAAGAATCTCGTTGTGCATACCTTCGCATGACGGCCTGTAAAGAATAAATTCTAGATTTGTATACTTATTCGCATGTTGATTTGTTTGTGCATCTGTATTGCTTTCTTTCGTCCTTAATGCTTGTATTCTTGGACACGCACAGTTGACAGCATGACTCGTTGCACACTGCCATGGGTGTTCTTGCCATAGGTCGATCCAAGTCCATGACCCGTGCCATCTAAGAACGTCCAGCGCACGTCCGACCAAGTCATCCACGTGGGTGATGCTGTGGTGACTTTTGAACAAGGTTGCGTTGTTCCTTTGCCGCTTCTTCGCACTCCAGCTATCGGCACACAGGCAGCGAGAAAGAGACTCCACAGAAGCGAAACAGCAAGAGAGACAGAGAGAGAGTTTTGCTATACAAATCTGTATGTACGTATGTACTTCTATATATATATATATATATATATATTCATATCTGTGTGTGCGTGTGAGGGCGTGAGGTGTGAGTGTGTGCATGTGAGTCTGTGCGTGTGAGTCTGTGCGTGTGAGTCTGTGCTTGTGAGTGGGTGAGTGAGTGAGTGAGTGAGTGAGTCGGTGGGTGGGTGGGTGAGTGAGTGAGTGAGTGAGTGTGGGTTGGAGTGTGAGTGGATGAGTGGGTGAGTGAGTGAGTGAGTGCGTGAGTGAGTGAGTGAGAGAGAGTGTCTGTGTGTGTGTGTGTGTGCGTGCGCACGCGTGTGCGTGTGTGTGTGTGTGTGGGGTGAGTGAGTGAGTGGGTGAGTGAGTGAGTGAGTGAGTGAGTGAGTGGGTGAGTGAGTGTGTGTGTGTGTGT